TCTCCTTCCCGCTCTATCTGAGTAAAAAAAAAAAAAGAAAAAAAAAAGAAAAGGACATCAGTGAACAAAGACATCAGGTGTGCAGAGGAGGGAGCTCAGTATGACGGGCTGGTTAGAAACCATCTCAAGGAGGGCTGAAGACACGCAATGTTTTCCTTCGAAAGGCGAAGACAGGTGGCAGGGGAGATGTTTCAGTCCCGGGAGACCTGGTGCACACATCAGGCGTGTGCTGTGTTCTTCCGGGGAGAAGCAGGATTGGGCCACCGGGGGGAGGAGTCAGGTTCCAGCTCCCCAGAGGCGGCCGGTTCCCGGCAAGGTGGGGTGTGCACGGCCCCTGGAGACAGGCACCTGGAGGCTAGCCTCGGACCTTATCACCACACTGTCCACAGTGAGTGTCCACAGTGACCACCCCTTACCTGGAGGCCCTCAGCGAAGGCTTCAGGGGGAAGTGGAAATGCACCATGTTTTCATCTGCATCTGTCCTGGACGCTAGTGAGACCACGCCTCTCAGGGGTGTCCACTTGCTACCTAGGAAGCAGACACAATTCTTGAAAGGAACTTTACTTTCTAAAGCCTAGTGGATGCGCTGGTTGGGGCCAGACATTTTTCCAGGGAAAAGGCAAATGGAACCTCTTACCTCCACTGGGGAAGTACAGAGGGCAGGCAGGCGGGGGGGGGGGGGGGAGGCTCGCCCCTCCCACCCTGCATCCCGACCGCCCTTCACGTAGAGCATCCCTATGCAGACCTGCACCTCTGTGTCCTCTTCTCCCTGTGACGGCCACCTCCACCATGCACGCACCTGATGACAAGCTGGCAAAGGACCACGGATGCTCTCTGGACTCACCAGCTTCCTGACTTACCAGTTAGGAAGAGGTTAGCAGGAAGCAACTTCTGGAAGTCTGCCAGTCAGGGCCTGCTGACCAAAGCAACCATAAGGTAACCTGTCACTTCCGCCGAGGGTGGGTTACCTTTTTAAATTTTCATACTATGTCCTCACTCAGGGCAAGGACTCAATTCCAGACCCAGTGAAACAGAAAAGTGCCAGATGACCTTCACACAGGTATGAAGGGACATCCCTCCTTGTCCCCATCCAGGGTCCCTGGTCTCCGGGTAAAGATCTGGCTTCCAGTCAGACACGCAGGGCCCCTGGCACAGGATGAAGGCCCGGGGGGCTCCCGTGAAGGACAGTGAGGGCACTTCGCCCAGGCCCTCACCCACCCCCCCCCGTGACGGTCCGTGGGGTTCCCAGGGCTTCCCACTCCCAGCCCTCACCCTCCACTGTGGAGCTGTGCCTTCGGGCAGCTTCTCATTGTAAAGACCGGCCATGGGGCCCTTTCCCTCAGCACGCATGCTTCCTGCTGCCTCGGTGAGTCACCATGCAATGTACCCTCACCTGTTCCGCTGGGCACTGAAACACCCTGTGTGCGAGCACGGTGTGAGCCTGGGATGGTGCTCCGCGCCTCTGCAGGGCACACTGCTTGGCCCAGGGTTTCAGAGAGCCACTCGCTTGGGTGGGGCGGGGAGTTTTAGATCTGAATCTCCCTCATACAGTCTGCTAAGTCCCACCCCCTCTTCTGCAGGCTGCGAAGCTCCACTTTTGTCAATTTCCTGGGTTGGCACCTGTCGTCCTCATTGGGATAGAGGTCCCTAACCTGCTGCCTCCTGCTCTCTCTGCTCCCCTCCACAGCACCTGTCTGGGGCAGCATCAACCATGGTACTCGGACCCGTTCCTCCTCCCTCGTCTGCACAGAAAAAGATGTGAAAATGGTTCTCTTTGCCCTGACCCTTCGAAGTCCTTCCTCCTCCTCTCTGCAGGGAATGCTGGATCCCCACGGGCACTGAGCAGCTTTCCGAGTTCCCGTGGTCCACCCTCCCCCCATGCCCAGCCACACACTGCACCTGCCAGAGGCCCCCTCCCTCTGGAGAACCTCGAACTTTCCTTTCTGCTTTCAACCCTCTGCCCCAGCACCCTTCGAAGAAGGGGCCTCAGAACAAAAGCCCAGCCCAGCCCAACCCAGCGCAAAGGTACACAGCGTGCCCAAGTTACTCATTACTAGAGTTAGAGGTCACAGAGCAGGAAGCTCATTGGAAAGCAAGGGGACAGGGTGACCTTCTAAGGGTAGCAGAGTGGGAAGGTGGCAAAGTCATAGTCACAGCCCCAAAGTTGGATGAGGTCAAATGGAAAAAGCTGGTCATAATTAAGCTAGCTACTTAATAGCTCTGCTATGCACAGGCATTGTGCGGAGTTAGCACTTTCCCACACCCCCCATGTAATCCTGGCAACAATGTAGCACTCCATTTTTACCACCCAGGGAGCTGGCCCTGGGGAGAACAAGTGACATGCCCAAGGTCACACAGCTAGAACCGTCTGAAGCTGGCCTGTCTTGCTCTTCGCCAGGTGGGTCTTGGTGGTGATGTGGTTAGATGGGTGACACAGTTCCGGGGGGCCGAGATGGTCTAGAGCAGTGGGAAGGGAGGAATCTGTGTTGGGTTCCCATGGGGCTGAGCCCATGTTCTCCACTGGTAATGCAGAGCTGGGGTAGGGGACAGGCTCCGCAGACGCCTTGGGCAGGCCGGGCTAGGATGACATGCTGCATTGATTGTGAAGGCAGGACCCCCAGAACTTGTCCGAGTTTACATGCAGGGGAGGGAGAAAGCAAAGCTGGGGAGCTACACTTTGGTGGGGGAGAGGGAGGAGTCCCCAGAGGAAGACAGTAGGTCAAGACAAGAAGGAAGGCTCGTCCTGGCCAGACAGTCTCCTTGCATTTGCTACAGCCCCGGAGAGCTAGACAGCGAAGATAAGACAACTCTTTTTAAAAGACAAAACGGGGGCTCCAATTTAAAATCTATCCCTCTGAGCCTTTCTCCACACACTTGTTTTACCACATGCTTCTACTGGAAAACAGAGAAAAAGAGAGGAGAGAGAGAGAGAGAGAGAGAGAGAGAGAGAGAGAGAGAAATCACGGGTGGGGGATGGGAAGGGTGGACTACGGGAGTGTGTGCAGGTGCGTTCCACCCCCTACCCCTCCCTACCTAGTCCACCTGGCCCCCACTCATCCTTTTCTGCTGATTCTGCCCACCTGCTCTCTTCCCTCTTACAGGTAGTTGGTGCCCAGTAAACACATGTCCTTGCAGTGACCTGTCCTGCTGGGAAGCCCTGGGAGAGGCCGTTTCCGCTGGGAGGGCCCAGGCGTCCTGGCTGCAGGTGCGCCTCTTCCTGCAGCTCTCCAGCAGCTGCCGCTTTGCCAACACAAACACCGCAGGGAAAAGCCAGGGTGGCCTCCTGTCTCAACACACTGCACTCAGGGTGCCCTTGAGGGAGCCCTGCAAGCAGCAGCCCCGCTGCGGGGGGGCTTGGTGGCTGCTGCTTTTCCTACATTTCAGGTGTTTTCAGGTGTGCCCGGGGCCTCGCAGGTGGGCCTAGAGAAGGATTCCCGGGAAAGAGCGAATTCTATTCGGTTTCGGTTTGTCCTTAGACCTGCAAGGTCGACCTTGAAGATGGAAAGGTGCCCCAGACAAGCATCCCTCTATTGGGTTGGGGGAAATCTTTTTCCGACGGGCCAGGTGGCCCCTGGGGTGGGGCGTCTGTGCAGCGACTGCAGCAGCACCCTGCCTTTTCTGCTGTGTCACTGCCCAGAGAAGCACGTGTGAAGCCGCCCAGGGGTTCCGCGGAGGGAAAGGGAGATAAAACCAAGGAGTCTGGCTTTTCAGCAACAGGGGCAGGGTAGGGAGGGGGAGCGCATGCCCAGGACTGTCCTTAACTGCCTTGCCATTTGAGCCGGGTCTCCCCAACCCCTTTAGTCCCAGGGATTTCATTGCAGAACGAAGAGGTCAGTACGCCCATGGGGGCGCAAAAGCATGTCAGTGAGAATACCAGCCACCGGCTCGGTACCATGGAGAGCCCTCGGTGGCTGGGTCACGTGCAGACATGGTCGCCCCGGGTCTGCACTAGCATGAACCGCCTTGCAGTGCGATTGGTCTCCGAGGGAAGACTCGCGGGGTGTTGGTCGGCCTCCTACACCTTCCAGGCCCCGGAGCCCGGCTGCCGCTCTGGGTGGGTTTGGCAAGTGTCCTGCTTGAGGTGGTTCAGGCCGGCCACACGGAGCACAGCCGGGCAGTCAGGAGAGGGACCGGCCAGGCCGGAACTTCAACCGCAGTGGCGGGGAGCGCCCAGGGGGCGGCAGGTGCAGGAGCAGGGAGGCAGGGCGGAGCTGGGCAGAGTCCCCGACTCCCAGGCGTCCCGGAGTGACCTTCCCCCACCCCGCCCGGGGCCTAGGAGGGGTAGACCTGCGGCAGAGGAACCGGGAGCGCGCGGGGAGAGCAGGCGCGCGGACGGGACTAGAGCAGGACAGCCAGGCCACGGTCCCCGGGCGTATGCCGGGGGCCGGGCGACGCAGGTGCAAGACCCCCGCACCAAGGAAGGGGTTGGTGGGCGCCGGGCCGGGAGCAGGGAGCAGCCTGCACGGTCCCCGCCGCGCCCGCCGCCCCTCTCGCACCCCCGCCCCTCTCGCCGCCGCGGCTCCTTTGTGCCGACCCCGTGCCCGCCCTCTCTGGCCCGAGGCCCCGCCCCCCGTGCCGACGATTGGCCATCCGGGTCGCTAGTGGGCGGGGCCCCGTGCCGCCGCGGCGCGGTATATAGTAAAGGTAGAGCGTGCGCCCTCCGCCAATTGCTCTGCTCCTGGCGGTCGCCCGCGTGCTGGGGCCGCAGTCCGTTTGTCCTTCCTTCCCTCTGACTTTCTCCTGCCCCGGCCGTCTCTGCAGAGGTCACAGGAGGCGGGGGCCCAGCACGCGTTCCCAGGGGCAGCGGGAGTGGCAGCTGCGGGCTCGCGGAGCCCCCGAACTCCAAGGGCAAGAGGAGCGCGTGGCGGACCAAAGAGAACCCGCGAGCGGCCGCGTGCCCACCAATAGGTGCGGGGCTCGGAGCCGCCCAGCCCGCGCGGTCCCTCCCTCCGTCCTCCGCCCCCACCGCCTCCCCCGCCTCCCCCTTCTCCCCTCTCGCTCCTGCTCCTCCGCGGCGCGTCTGGCACTCGGAGCGCCGCAGCGGCAGCGGCGGGTGCAGCCTGCGCAGGTCCAGGCCGTGACGCCGAGCGGCAGCGGGAGAGGACCAAGGGCGCACGCCGCAGTCACCACCCGCAGCCCCCGCGGCAGCTGCTGACCCGCCACCATGGCCCGCGGAAAAGCTAAGGAGGAGGGCGGCTGGAAGAAATTCATCTGGAACTCGGAGAAGAAGGAGTTTTTGGGCAGGACCGGTGGCAGCTGGTGTAAGTACGGGGTTCGCAGCTCTCCCCCAGCGCCTGGTCTCTCCCGGGCGGCGCATTCCCTGCGCAGGCTCTGCAGACCGCTCCGCACCGCGCGCTGGCGAGGGTGGAGGAGGTGGCCCCGGCCGGCCGTAGTCTCCTGTGCGGACTGCGGAGCCCCCGGCACCGGCGCGGGGCTGGGGCCGGAGCGCGCCAGGCAGAGGGTGGTAGCGGTCTTGTATTGGTAATTTTCGGTCTGTGGAGCATCACTTGAGCCTTTCCCTGCTGGGAATGGTCAGGCACCGAGAATCTAGATGTCTCTCTCCCATAATCATGTCCCAAGTCCTTTAAAAAAAAGAGAGAGAGATGTAAGTAAAGACGAGGGTAATCGGGTGAAATGCCGGCGAGGTTGCGCGTTATAGCATCTTCTAGCCTAAATGTGTACCTCCAAGGCGCGGGGCGGGGGAATCCATCCACACTGCAGTGTTTCAGAGCCATGCCCAGAGTCCCCCGCGACCTCCCCTGGAGTCATTACCGCCTGCCATGGCCGCGAAACATGGCACAGTCTGGTTGATTTCCATGTCTACACAGAGATGCCGGATCAGGCTTATGGTGAAGGGTTCGTCCAAGAAATAAATGGCACAAAGGCCGAAACAGGTCATCTTATAAGATTTTGGACAGCCTGTTGCTTAGCTGGATACGATTTTTCCCCCATTGAAAATGCAATACCTTACTTGTTTTCTGCCTCCCCACACCTGGAGGGTGACATGTTTTTTTTTGTTGGTTAGTTCTGTTTTTTTTTTTTTTTAAAGGTCATTTTGAAGGGCAGAGTTGTAGGCAAATCTGAGTCGTGACTGCAGCGAGAGAGGGAGGGAACTCCCCTGCTGCATCACTGCCCCCTCCTCCTCTGGTATCATCACCATCATGGGCACCACCCGCCCCTCCATGGCAGCCACTGAGGGAGCCCTGGAGAGGGGCTGATGCAGGTTCCGATTGGAGAGTCTGGGCATCAGCAGAATGAGTCAGGGAAATGGTGCTTGGCTGACATTTTGAAATGGAAGAAGCCGGAATATATGATTTTTTTTTTTTTTTTGTAAAGAAAAAAAAATGCAGGCTGGGATGTAGGTAGGCCCCTCTTGATTGAAAAGTGAAGGGTTAATAATGCATCACCCTTCAAGGTTAGTCAAGGTGAAACCTCATTCCAAGATATTACTGGGAAGCATAGGTATCCCTGAGCCATGTTACATGTAGGTGTTTACAGGGATGGCTTTTAGCTTGTATTTTATGTTTTATTGTATTTGGAGGAGACCAAGTTCTTCAGTGGGATTATGGCCATAGTTCTTCACTGTGCGGACAGCTCCCTGTTTTCCGAAGGAGGAAGGGAAACCTGGAAGTCAGGGTGTGTGGGGGGCGAGCAGCACTCCGCTCGGTGCTGTCTTCTGGCCACTCTCGGTCGCTCGAACAAGGCCCAGGGGTGGGCTGCACTGCAGACCGGGCCCCCTTCTCCCAGCCCCTGGGACCTCCCAGCCCAGGTTGTCTGACCCCAGCCCGGGCACGAGCTGAGGCCGCCTCCACTCCAAGCATGTTGCGAAATTTGCCCTGTAGTGTTTCCCCCTCATTAAATATATTTTTTTCCTCATTCCAATTCCAGAATAATATTTGCTTTAGAGGGTAAGGCTGTGTGGGACTACTTGTTCTTTAAGCCGACATTTAATGGGGCAGCCCCTCTGCAAAGGGAGTGGGGAGGGGGAGAGAATGTGTCAATATCTGTGTCTCGGGTCCATGCCGGGCAGTATGGTTGATTCATGGACACAGACCCCCGGACTGGCGTGCCTGTCTCATTTTCCCTCCTGTTTTCCAAGGGGCAGGTGCTGGGCTGAAAATGCAGGTTTTGCTCAGTGCGGTGTCCGCACCTTTCCGGCAGTGCGAGAGGTCAGCCTCCGGTGGGCAGAGGTGGGACATGTCACCTTTTCAGCACAGGGCTCAACACTGTGCCCTTGGGACAGGGCAGGTCGTCCTCGGCTCAGTTTTGCCGACAGGTAGATTTTTCACCAAGATGGACGCAGGAGCCTCGCCTGTCACCTGCTGGAGAAATCTTGGCGTGCAGGTCACCCCTTTATTGTGGTAACAGGTATTGGTAGGTTTTATGTTTACCGCTGGGCCCAGATACCCCGTTTTCCTTCTGCCTGTGACCCTTGTGCAGGGTACTCCCCCTCCCCAATTGGAAAACCTCTGTATTACTTGTATTTTTTAAAAGGAAGAAAAACTGCTTAAAAGGAAAAGTGCCCCTAAAACCTGTCCCCTGGACTGGCTGGTACCATTTGTCCAGCTTTTCTCTTTGAGCAGCCCCTAGTGGCCTAGACCTGCGCTCCCTCTACCCAAGTGACCCCACCTCAGTACCTGGGCGCAGTATGCTCAGTGACATCTCAAAGCGAGAGAGGAAAACTCCTCGCTTCCCTGTGGGTCCGGCACGAGCGGACTGGGGAGACCGCGTCTTCCTAAGTGCGGAATCAGTGCGCTTGGCAGGTGGCTTGTTTTTACTCGGCCGTATTGGTGTCTTAAACTGTAGCCCCCATTGTGTACCTCCGCGTGTCTTTAGCGTGAGGTTTCTGGGGTCCCGGGGATGGGTATAGAAATAAAGGCTCCGGGTGTCAGAAGCGCCAGTGCAGCTACGCGGAGTGCACCGGCCTAGGTGGGGCAGCAAATAAAGGGGACCATAGCTCCCCACCCCACCCGCTGCACCGCTCTCTCCCGCACCTCTTAGGAGCAGTGGCTGGAAAAATTTTCCAGATCTCTTGACGTCACAGCCTTGCCATTTGCCTGCTGCTGCCTGGATACCAAAGCGCTTAACCCTTGCCCTGCTGGGAGGCAGTGAGTGAGCTGGGCAGCTGTCCTGGGCTGTGCGGCCTTTGCATTTCCCTTCGCCTCTGTCTCTGCCTTTCTCCCTCCTTTTACACGGATTACAGTGAATCCCTTCGGTGTGCTTTTATGTGCGATTTGCTTACTTTGACACCTCTTTAGCGTGATTATTTGCTGATAGGAAAGTTGGGTGTTTAAATGGATGGAGATTGGCTAATGCCCCCCCACTGTGCACCCACTACCCCCCACCCCAGCTCCCTCCACTACCCTCATCCACCTTATTTCAATAACACTCGTGTTCTGTAGCTGCCCCCCACCCCACCCCACCCCAGGACCCCAGCACCGAATGCACGAGAGCTGGACGTTTCTAGACTTCGCCAAAGGCCCCTCTGCCACCTCACGGCTCACTTCTTCCCACTTTGCATTCATGTCGAGCTGTTTGGCTGGCACAGGGCTGTGGGGCCATGCCTGGTACAGCCTGGTACTGCAGCTAATCGGGAGGTAATCCTCGTCCAGCGGTAACTGATAGCTCAGTCAGTCTCCGGGCCCCTTGGTTTTTTTTTTGCCTTTTCAGCTGTCTCAGCCTCCGCTGTCCTGGGAAAAAACTGCAGCTCATTAAGTCAGTCATTATTCTGGGTCCAGTCGGAAGATGAAATAAAAGTGTGCTGGCCGTTCTTACTGGACACTGTCTTTTTCTCAGGCTTGGGGACCTGCAGGGAACCACCGGGTGCTTAGTGACTAGTTCAAAGGGCGGGCGGCGGGGAGGAGCAGGAGCGTCTCCCTGGGGTCCTGGGCGCCCCCGGCTTGTCTCAGTCTGTGGGTTTGGGCAGATGGCAGAGGCTGGTTGTAAGATGGAAATGTCGAGGGACCCGCAGGCAAAGTGAACGCTGCTGTGCGGAAGAGGCTGCCATTTGCAGGGCCCGGCAGGAGCCGGGGCCCTCGTTCATTGGTGACCTTCGTGGCCATCTCCTTACATTTAGGGAGCAAAATCATCTCCTGTAAAGAGTCTTAGCTCTAGCTGAATGCCCCCGCTCCGCGACCACCCCAGACGTGCTCACTGATGGAGGGCTGCCCTTCCCCTCTCCACCCCCTCCCTGGTCACAGGGATCACCTTGGAGAGGGGAGCTCTGAAGACGGGGTGCAGGGAAGCCGGGAAGGACGGGCGCTCCTCCGCTGGCTCTGAGCGCGTGCCTGCATCACAGCCTTTGTTCTATCTGCTCTCCTTGCAGTTAAGATCCTTCTGTTCTACGTGATATTTTACGGCTGCCTGGCCGGCATCTTCATCGGAACCATCCAGGTGATGCTGCTCACCATCAGTGAATTTAAGCCCACCTATCAGGACCGAGTGGCCCCGCCAGGTAACATGGACGTGCATCGTTCAGCCCTTCCCCCGGGAGATGGGTGTCTGCGCCCATCCAGCACTTTCTTCCGAGGCTGCTGGTGGGGTGCAGGAAGCAGGCCCGCAGAGGGAAGGCGGTGGCTGCTCTGTGCTTCAGCCCCACCTCCGAAGGGTACTGCGGGCAGAGCGGGGGACAGCAGACGCCTTATCACCGCTCTGCCCAGGGGGTGGGGAGCCCTGGCACCCAGCCTGCCGGCCACCAGCCACCAGCAGTGGCCTCGGTCCCCTGGTCCCTGACTCCCGTGGGCTTGTTCGTGGGCTCTCACAGTTTTTTCACTTTCTCGAGGGGACTCTGACTCAGGGAAGTCCTTTATAAAGGCAGTTCGGCTCCTGGTTTAACGGCAACTGATGTTGCACAGAGGAGCCAGGACTTCGGGGTCCACTCCCCGCCTGCTGCGCACATGCAGTCTGACCTTGAGCACGCTCCGCACTTCTCAGGGTTGATACCTGTTCCGTGAATGAGGGGCTTTCCGGACCACCTGGCAGTGCACCTGTCCCCTCTAGCTCTGACCACGTGGGTTAGCAAAGGTTCTAGAACGTGCCGGGTGCCACACGAGGGCTCGGCTGTGGTTGGGGTGCCAGCAGTCCCCTGTGCGTGTCCACACCAGTCACGAGAGCCCAGGAAGGCCCCGGGCCCCACCTGTCACCTGGAGCTGGCAGGACGGGACAGCAGAATAGCCACCAGTGTGACTGTACTGTCTGTCTCTTAAAAGTCACCGCCGGGAGGACCGGGAGGGAGCGGAAAGGTTGCGTAACTTCCGGGTTCTCTCATTATAAATGACCTTGGGGGGTGGCAGTGACGTGTCCCCTCTCCAGTTTCCCGGGGCAGCTGTTGAGTAACAGCTGTATTGAGGTGACAATCCTGAGGCTGTCTGCAGGCCCCGAGCAGCCTGGATCATGTCGGTCGCAGACTCGTCATGTCCACCTCCTGGGTGTAGGGGGGCCTCTCGGGAAAATCTTCCACGCGGGGAGGTGGTGAGCGGTGTCCTTTAGCCTCAAGTCAGAGTCTGCCGGGAGAAACCCGCATGTCCCCGATACATGTGGGTCCTGGGGGTGTTGGAAGTGGACCAGGAAGACGTGTAAGTATAACGTTACTCAGACCTGCTCCTAGCAACCCAGTGTCCAGCAGCTAGTCCCCGAGGAGAGGAAGGTCTGAGGGGAGGCTGCAGGGGGTTCTGGGGTGCTGGCGCAGAGAAACCCCGCGGACACTGGCCTCGGGGACATCACTTGCAGTGGGTCTTCTCGCATCATCTTCTGTTTTCTGGTAGCATCAGTAATCATAATTTAAATTTGTATAGACTTTTTCTTTTTTTTTTTTTTTTTGCCATTTAAAGCTATTTTTCAGTCACGATGCTGTTTGATAATAATCCTTACACTTAAAGCCACAGTTGACCAGACCGTCAAGCATTTTAATTTCCCACATTTAAGAAATTGTCCTTGACCAAAGGAGCTCAGGGGAGTCAGAGGTAACACTTCCTTCTTGTTCTGTGCAGAAGGGACATTTGACTTTCAAAAGGAGACGTACCCACCTTCTCAGTGACCTTGCAGATGACCTTGCTGGGAAATCCCCGGTTAAAGAGCTCCGGCGCTCCCTACCCCGGCCCCTTCCTAAGAGCCACATTCTCAGTCCCTATATTTAGTGTCCTTGCAGCAGGGGAGTCGCTGCCCAACGGAATGCCCGTCTCGGACACGTGTGCCTGTCCTTCGGTCTGAGTCACAGGCCTCATCCCCTAGGTTCCCGTCCTGTCACCTGGGTTCTTTGTCATTTGTATTGCCTTTTCCTTGTGCCGTCACCCATCACTTTGCTGGGGCGGGGGGTGTCTAGGCCAAGCCCCCCCCCTTTTTTTTGTGGTGCATGCCCCTAGCGGGAACCGAACCCGGGACTCTCTGGTCTGCAGGCCGACGCTCAACTGCTGAGCCAAACTGGCCAAGGCCAAGCCCCCCTTTATCCATGGCCTTCCTGAAGGTCGTGGCATTTGTCTGCAAACCATGGTGGCCTTGGAGCAGGAGGTGGCCAGGTAAGCAGAGCACCGTCTAGAGGAAGTGAGCTGGGGACTGTCCCCGCGTGCTGCCGGGGGCCCTCAGTGGCCTCTCATTCAGAACACAGGTTGACAGGCAATTCGTTCCTTAGGCTGGAGACTGAACCAACGCGTAGGAGAAGCCCTGGCCATGCTGGGGCTTCAGCGTCATGTCTCAGAGCTTCTGTTCTGTGACAGTTCAGGAGGGAAGACTGTCCTTTCAGTCAAAGGAGCCCAGTGGGCGCGGCAGGCTTGGCCCGGGGTCAGAGCTGGAAGGACATGTTGGTTGCACTCTGGACTGGATTCGGGCTCCAGCACCGGCCTGACTGGGCACTGCCGCCCTGGGACACTGGTAATTAGATCTGTCCTCGGCAGCCCGGACGTGGCCAAGTTAGGCAGTTGAGCGGAACGGTCGGGTCTGCGTGTCTGTCATGCTGGATGGGCAGTCTCAGGACGAGATCCCAAACTGAAGGTGCGGTTTCAGAAAACGTGGACGACACGTCCCGTTCCCTGAGCGATGGTGGCCGTGTGGTGCTGCCCGCGAAGCCCTGTGGCCGTGGGATGTGGGGACAGGTCTGCCCACTGGGCCCGGCGGCCCCAAGCTAGAGCTCAGCCCAGACGTTAGGTTGAAACAGTCCGTTGCTATTCCTGTGGGTCAGAGTGGCCGCCTGTCGGTGGGACCACGCCTGTCTGAACCCGGCCCTGAGCCCTGAGCCGTCACACCTGAGTTCCCAGCGAGGACGCCGCCTGAGCCCGAAGGTGGGTGGGCCTTTGGAGCGGGACCCAACCCCCGCCGCCCTGCACACGGCTTCCCCTCAGTGTTCTCATCTGTAAAGTGGGAATCATGCCCTGGGAGGCATTAAAAGGTGGCCAGCAACAGCCACATCCGTCTTGCACCCGGGGGACCAAATCCAGGCTGTGAGCTGCGGCCAGCAGGACAGTGCTGTTCGCACACGGACGTTTTCCTGACGTTAACAGAATCTTGGCTCTCAGCGAGAAGCATTTGGGAGAAGTTGGGTTAGGAAATGTGTTTTTAAAACCATGTGAGTACATTTCAATGACACTGTGTTTGTTCTCTAATCTGCCTCTGAAATAGACACACGCGTGGGGCTGGCCCCTGCCCAGCCCTTCTCCTAGGGGACCCGCTGAGGGCCGTCCTCATGGAGGTCCACGGTGCCCCTCCTCCCGTGGCTCCCGTGGCTCCCGTGGGCTCCGGACACGCCCAGCTCGCGCTCGCCGGCCCTCTCCCTGGTTTGACCCTGGGCTCCTTGCCCCCCACACCGCGGTTCAGTGAGCAGCCGCGGAACGAATGAATGAGGGTGACTGTGTGTCACTCGGCGGCGGGTCCAGGGAAGAGGATCCCAGCTGGCTCGCTTCCTGCCGAGACACGAGCTCGCCCCCTGTCCTTCCTCGGAAGGTTGCGGCGGCTTCGCTCTGCTTTGAAGCCCAGCCGGCTCCGTGTGGCAGGAGTTCGTTTGAACGGGGTCGTGTTTGGGTGTGACGGTAACCGAATCAAGGCCGCAGACCCCGTGGGCACCCCGGCAGCCTTGCTGTCATCTCGGCGGTCAAGAGGGGCATCTTGTCCCGAAGTCCGTGAGGGTGAAGACGTTACGGCTCAAATCTCGCAAGTGAGATTCTTGAGACGGCATCACGTCAGTCTCCGAAGTGCCTTTTCTCTTTTTCCCCCAAAAAAGTTCACTTAAATTTCAAAGCAGGAATTGGGGCCGTTTGGCTCACTGCACTTCGGAGGAATTGTTTTTTCAAAGCGCGGAGAAGGTGTCTTGTCACCATTCGATTTGTTATCTCGAGCGAAGGGTGAGCGTGCGGAGCCTCTAATGTCCCTGCCCCTCTGACGGCTCCTCCAAGCTCCAGGCGAGGGAGGGGCCGGCACTGGGGGAGGGGGGCACGACTTCTAGAAGTAAAGGGTTTAGGTTGGCAAACTCCAGTTCCGGTCCCGCCGGGTCCCCAGCCTCGGGGCTTCGCCACCTGCCTGTGGTGCTGTGTCCTCGTTTCTAAAGGCAAAGATGCAACGCACGGGTCCGCTCGGGTGTGCGGGAAGCCTGGGGTCAGCTCGCACATGTTCCTGGAGCCACAGAAAAACGGGTCTTGCTCAGGGGTTCCTTTCAGATGAGCGGGCGAGCAGAGGGCTCTGATCGATAGACAGGTGACAGCCCCACCGTCCCGCGGTGGGGGAGCCGCAGGGGGTGATGCGGGGTCTGTGAAGCGTCACTTAGGGCTTTTGTGCCGCGCTCACTTGGGCAGGGCCCCGGTGGGCACGGCTGTGGAAAGGGCTCGGCCCCCCTTGCGGGTGGTGGTCTGCAGCGAGGGTGGCTGCTTCCTGTCTGGGCCCCCGCGCCCTCCTGCTGGTGACCTCATGACCCGAGGGTCCATCCAATGCGGAGGAGACAAAGTGGGGAACAGGGAGTGTTTTCTAGTGGCTTCCAACCAGAAAATCATACCTTTTCCCACAGACACGCGTGAATAGACGTCGTCGAATGTCCGGTCTAAGGTGTCCTAGTTCAGGATGACGGTCACGTTCCAGATGTTCGCTTAGTGTCTGGGCAGGACTGTGCTTGTCCTCGAACAGAAAGGCGAGGCTGTGCAAACACAAGGCTGTGCCCCTTTGTGTGTGTCTCAGCCGTACTGTATTGGGGACAGAGGCACTGGGAGCTGCACGGAATACACAGCTATGCCCTGGGAAATCACACCCGCTTTCCGAGCCAGGTCCTCGGAAGGAAGCACTTCTGTCACCTGAGAAGGAACAGGTGAGCTCAGGAGAGTGAGGACGAGGGTGGCCCTGCCTCCCCAGCACGGGGCTCCCGGCGTAGATGGAGAGGACCTTCCCTCCCCCAGGATGCTGGGCCTCCAGGTGGGTTCAGAGCAAGTCCAGCAACTCATCTTTCACGGACTTTTCCGGGGAGCCGATTCCCCGGCGTCCGGC